TCATATTTTTTGGACATGCAGCTCCATTACTCCTTTTTGGCAGGATGTTCTCGCCTTGCTGAATTCATTGCTGCATGTCTCTCTCCCACTTGATCCACTACATTTTTTGCTAGGTTTACCATTCCCAGGACTACCTAAATTATCCAGGAAACTTGCTGTACATGTACTGACCGCAGCCAGGAGAAGTATTCCTATGTGTTGGTTGTCCTCTGATCCTCCTTCAATGCCGATTTTGTACAAACTTATTGCTGATGTAAGACAGATGGAATATTTGACTGCACTACATAGTTGTTCGTTTGCTGTATTTGAGATGATTTGGCTCCCATGGGATACTTTCACTTCTTCTATGCCGGCCCACATTGCAAGGCCCTGATATCCTCCACACTGTTATTTTATGATTCCGCTGGTCCTGACCCTATTTAATTTTGCCATCTATGTACTTTTCTGTTATGTTTGTTTTCTCTTTTTATCCTTGTTAAACATGTTGTTTGTATTTCACGAAAACCAATAAAAATTGTTAATATAAAAAAAAAGAAAAGATCAGGGCAGGCATAGCCAGCCATGTCTGGCAAAAGTGTTATTTCTACTAACATAGCACTCTAAGGCAAAACCAAGAAAGCAACTACAAGCAACAGTGCTCTACTGCAGGCTTCTGGTCTACCTTTATTTCTCCATCTAGCTCTTTAACATACTGCCTCCAACTCTTTTCACCTTCCAATATGCTCTCTTTAACATTCTTTTCACTATAGTCCCCTCGCTTATGAAACTCCTTTGCCCACCCTGTCCACCCTACAACCTATACATATCACCTTCACTTCTACCCTCTGCCTATTATTATACTTATCACCTATCACCTCTTGTTCTTTCTGAATACATAATGCCATAACCTCCAAGACACACTGGGCATGTGTCCTCATATAGATCTCACTCCCATCCCACCTCTCTAACCCTGGTGCCTCACCATCTCTTAACCCCACAACTGGCACCCTCAATACAGCAGCACACTATTTTCACATCCTTATTTCAATTCCCCTGTTTTCAAGAACCAGCCCCACTTCTCATGTAGAATGTGGAATGCTTCCTCAGTCTGTAACAAGCTCACTTTTTTCAATGACCTTTTATTTTCAACTCTTTTCACCTGCTTGCTGTTTTTTAAATATGGACTTACTTACCCAGACCCAGTGGATGAAAGGAAAGTGGAGTTAGACTGCTTCTGTTCTCACAAAGCACCTTCCAAGTTCTTAGTACTCCTCCATCCCTATCCTTCTTTTGAAACTCACTCTGTTTATCTTTTTTTCTCCAGTTTACCGTTTGCTGTGAATTTATCTGCCTCCTGCACCAGTGCCATGCTTCCTTGAAGACTCTGTCTGGCTACCCTATTTTTTCTCCTCTGAAAATCACTCTATCCTCTTTGTTGGCTTCAACATTCTGGTTAATGTTAAAACACTAGTGACCTCTTAACTCTTTAACCCTGTCGCTTCTTTTGACATAAAGCAAAGTATACACGCTTCTACCCACTTTGATGGCACCACTCGTGTTCCACTTCTGCACTCTCTGTAACCTCTCAAACAACCCTAATACTTTCAATGGTCACACTCTCCCTGTCTTCAACTCCTTAACCAGCAAACAATTACCCACAGAAACCTTCACCACTTTAGCCCTTCTCTATTCTGTTACTGACTACCTCTACAACAAAATCTCAATCCTATTGTGCCCTGACTTGGACACCTCTGTTTACAACAGTTAACTCTCATAAACCATTATTGTATGTGTGGCCTGGTCTTTCTGGCCATAGCGTGCGACTGTTACATTATGTGAAGACTCCATTGGCAGATGTAAATGATCATATATGGAAATATATTTCATTTAAGGCTGGTACACACAGGCTGTATATAGTCTGGCATCGACCAGTTCAACAGAAACCGGCCAACATTTGGCTTGTGTTTACAGCAGTGTGTCTGACAGAAGTTGGTCTAACGGCTGGCTTTTATCGAAATGGCATTTTGGAAAACCAGCATCTGATCAGAGCTTGCAGCCAGTGTGTTTTCAAGGAGGGTGAGGGGTGCAGTCCCCCTGTCAGAACACAATAACTTCAGTGGAGGAGGTGGCAGCACTAACATCGATTAGTTATTACAGCAACCGCTCAGTATTTTTCTTTCAGCCCACTGAGTTGAATGAAAAAAAAAAAAAAAAATTGCCAGTGTCTACCAGGTATAAGAGTGTGAATATTATGTGTGTGTAATCTATCTGCCTATCTTGTCATAGTGTCTGTTACTGGCATGGTAGAAATGTAATTATCAGGGTATATTCTGTTAAGCCAGGTACAAACTGAAAGTTTTTTTTTGTTCATCCAGCGGGTTGAACAAAAAACACTGACAGTTCAGCATAGCAACACAAGCAATGTTGCTGCGGTGATCTGCTGTTCTGTTGAATTTTGTTCACCCGCCAGAATTCACAGATCAATGCTTGGCTGCAAGTGCTGATTGGATGCTGGTTTTCCAGTATGTTCCCTCAACAAAAGCCAGTCTTTAGACCGACTTCTCTCTGTCAGACAGCTGTACACACTGACCAAAAGTCCGATGATTCCTGCTTTTTGGCCAGTATGTACCCAGCTTTAGTTCCAGATGATATACTAAATAAAAGACAATAAGCAGGGAGAAGAACTACAATCAGGTTGGTGCCAGATTTATTTATCTAACTAATAGGAGCAACTTTTCTCTTGCCGCCAGATACCAGCTTCAAATACTTCCCAAATACTAAATTGTGGCCAGTTGTCATTAGTGGGTAAATTGAACAGGAGAAGCCTTCTAACAGCTGCACACTTTTTTTATTTCTCTCCAAACATTCTGGCTAGTTAGCTCATTACCTCTTTGCATAAAAAGGAGAGAAGATATGAGTATTTAGAGCATCCAATCCTCAGAGAAATGGTCTAATTTGATTAGGTTAGTAAAAGCAGAAATCAGTGATGTTCAATGTTGAAAGTCTATGGAAGAGAGATACTAGAAGATAGATACTTTCCTTGTATATAAATAGATATCTGGTTTGCCATATTTAGGTTCTTTTTACTTTATAGCAATACCTTTCTGTTGTGTTCAAGTTTTCACTCAAAAGTCCAAACACTATTACCAGGTTATATATACGTGTAGATGTGGAGGATTATATAGCTACCATGTCTGTATATCACTTCAGTTAATAACCATTATAAAGATATTCTATATTGGATTTTTCTTGATATATGGTTAGAATTTTCTAATGCTCGGAGGTGTTTTTGGTGACTTCTAATAGTTTTTTTTCTTTTTTGAACTATATCTCAGCAATATTGGTACATTTAATGAAGGTGCATGAAGATGTCACAGAATACAGGAGAGGATGATGATGAGGAATAGCTGAGGTAGGAATTGAATAAGAATTCACAGCATCCAAACACCACATTTGTACATTTTCATGATGTGTTCACTCACATGCTGATTACCAGTGACCGTTCTTGAAATGGAAGTCAGCAGGAGCAATAAAAATACACACAGCTAACAAACCCCACAACTGGAAGCCTGACAGACTGGCTGATCATAATAGACCATGGCTTTATTACGGAAAACCATTTCTTTGAAGACTTACATTTGACTGTTGACCTCAGCTGGATATTAAAAAAAGAAAAACACATCATTAAAAAGCACTTACAGGAACCGTCCACACTTTCGTATACTGCTTCAAGACCAGTTACTTAAATAAGTAATGTTCTTATTTGTGGCTTCTGTGTGAAGCAATAGGATCCACATAAATTATGTTTCTTGTTATATTCCAGTGTATATGTTGTTGTTTTTTTTTTTAGGTTTGGATGGAGTAGGAAGGATTTAAAAACAATGTCAACTTAGATTGTTGTCTGAGTCTTGTTTAGAAGATTTATCTTTACTTCCAGAGTCCTCACTGAAAGCTGGCCATAGATGGATCTAAGTTCAGCCAGTTTAGTAAGGACCAGCCAAATTTCATTCCATATGTTACAATGTCTGTTCTACAGAAGTCGATTGTTAGATTGACTTTTGTTAAAAGTACTTGTTGGAAAATGTTTTCGATCAGCTGCAGCTGGTTGCAACCACTGATCAGTGTATTCTGACAGCAGAAATTCTTTCTTTCAGAATACAATGTTCTAGTGGAGAGGATTCCACTGATCAGTATATTCTGTATTCTGACTGCAGAAAGTCCTTCTTTTCAGAATACAATGTTCTATGTAGTGGAGAGGATTTTGCTATCGATCATGCTTTTGTGAATAGAGACATTCATGAGTTTTTTTTCCTTCAGCCCACTGCCTGAATGAGAATGAATGATGAATCATCTATGGCCAGCTTTGGTGTCACTTTTTGCTAGGGACAATATAACACCTGACTTTCTGTCCCAGGGTTAATAGTCACCATGACAAATGCTAACAGAATATATGCTTAGACATTGACAAAAAAAAACTGAAAAAAATTGACAGAAAAAAAAAAAACAAAAAAACTAACAAACCCCACTGAAGTTTATAGGAGGTGGACCTTGATAATAAATTCATACAGTTTAAAATAGGACTCATAAAAGCCTTATGCAGCAGGGGTATAAAGTATGGGTCCCCCAACAAGTTTTAAGAAAAAAAAGGCCCAGGTCGCATTGCCCTACATATTTTCTGTGCTGTCACCTTCAGATTCACTTACTGATTCAATGTTACCCAACATTATTCAACCTAATTCCTGTAAGCCCCAGGTATCAAGGTTCCATCCCCACTATGGGCAGCTTTTATGATTTGCCCACCTCTGGAGAAAGTAGAGGGCTAAAATGTCATCAAATTAAACCAAAGACATCTGGAAAAAAGGTATATATATTGTGGGAACTCGCTTCAACGTGGTAGAGCTTTTAAACGTAAACAGCTACTCGCTTTCTTTTTCAGGGCCTTTTTAGCCCACTTTTATTTAAATGAAAGTTCAAACAGAAGTTTCCCACACAGGGGTATCGATCATCCACAAAACAACGGTTCAGCCTCCTGGCTTACACTCAGCTTGCTGTCTGTCTCCTGCAGACTTCTTCCCAAAAATATGGCACTTGCACACCGCTGACCTCTAGCACACAGCTAGTCTCTAGCAGCCCCTTGCTGCTTTTGGCTTCCACCTCTCCTAGGTGAAGCCCACCTGACTTCCAGGCAGTGACCTCCTGTCTTGACTCTCTGAAAAGGCCTGCACACACCTGTGCAATCAGTCTCCTGGCCATTCCCAAAACCTGGTCCCAGGATTGGAGATTTCATCCCTCCCAAATCACTTCGAAATCTCCAGGCTCCAGATCCCAAAATGGACCTTACAAACAAAGGAGGAAAGTGAGAAGCCACTTTCCTCCATATCAAACCTTTACCCTGGAGCCCCTCAACCTGCCTTGTTGAGAATCCAGGGTGACAGATCGCCACACTGTCACATATCCCCCCCCCTTTGTTTTGACCCCGTAGGGGGCAGAATACACAACATATATCTTCCGGCACCTCTGTGCCAGCTTTCACTTACAGGGGTCCAATCTGGTCTGACCATACCTTTCCTAAAGGGGAACTCTACCCAATGATTCCTTTGGTGTCTGTCCCCAAGCCCCATTGTCTCTCTCTTGAAATCCTAACGGGGTCCCCCTGGCCTTTCCGCAGTACCAGACCATCAGACTGTGGAGGAGACACCTCAATATACATTGGTTGTACATTCCAAAGTTCAAGCATCTCCTTTAATACTTTGGTTACAACCCAACCACTTGACTCTAGACCTAAGACCTTCCTGACCATATTTAGGGCACTGGGAACGCTGAGAGACTCACCTGCTGAGACTTGATAAGTTGAAATTTTTAAAGGGACCTCCTCCAAGCTGGAGATAACCACAGCTTGGTGCTCCACCAGAGTGCTGCCATGTGCTGGGCTCACTCTCAAAGTCTCAGACTCAGCATCCACAAGCTGCCCCTGATCATTCCCACAACACAACATGACAACATCATTTTGACACTCCATGCCAACATCACTTTTGTGGGTCACTGACAAAGTCTCTGCTGTATACACACCCTTATCTATAGGCCGTTCTATAGATCCTCCTGCTGGCACAGCAGAAACAGTGTCCACCTTATTTTTTTGCATAAAAACCTCATCTAACAACGAGATTAGCCTTTTACCCCAACTATCCCAGTCCATTGTATATGTGCTCAATTCGCCAGTGCTCCTCAGCACCGAACCATCCGCCCAAGGAGACACATAAGAATAGACGGGCTTAGTTGTAGATCCCTTGCACAAATCACTCTGGATCACATCAGACTTAGGTAACACCTGTTTTCCAACTGCAGGTTGCAATACCTCACATCCACCACTTTGCTCTGGTGGTGCTTCCTGAACTACCCACACATTTGCATTTTTGCCAGGCTGCATTAACCTGCTGTTCACCTGAACACTTTCAGTATTCGGCTGCACCAACACACTCCTATTACAAGGTGCAGTTCCACTCTGCTCCACCAGAGTGACATCGCAGTTGTCCAGGGCAACCTCCGTCTCCAATACACGGAGACCCCTGGAGATGTCTAAGGACACCTGTGCTGTCTTACCACCAGTTGCTATGGGAAATGACCCATCTTTAATTACAGCTTTTGCACTGCAAGAGCTCAGGGTTTTCCCAACAGCAGTACATTTCTCATCACCAACAAAATCAGCCTTTGTAGCTCTTGTGGGCTGTACTAGCCTACTACCAACCTGCAACTGGCACACATTGACATCACTTGCTTTTTGAGAACCAGGCACAGGTTTTACTTTAATTCCTACCTCCCCACTGTACAAGGCACTGCACAGGGAAAAGTCACTCTCAAAAGCACATTCAGTGGCCCAACTAACCGGGGTCACTCCTACATCAGAATGGACAGTCTCATAACCAGTCCTTCTCAACATGACAGTCCCAGCCATGGTTTTATCACACACAGTCTTACCCACCACAGTAGTAGGTGTCGCCATCTTCATTTGAGTGCGTTGTCTCATAAACGCATCCTCAACTGCACTTTCCTTGGCAACTTTTCCCTTGCCCCAAGGTGAAGTAACAGATGCCCCCATAGGCTCCATGGACTCTCTGGCACCCCCTGCAGGCCCAACAGGAACTTCCTCCCTGTTGCCAGAGGCAGCCGCCAACACTTTCAAACAAGAATCTGGGCTTGATGTTGTAGACATTTGCCCAGTATCAGCGGTATTCCAGAGTCTGGGACAGGAAAAGATCCCAAACCTTTACCCTGGAGCCCCTCAACCTGCCTTGTTGAGAATCCAGGGTGACAGATCGCCACACTGTCACAATATTTATATACAATGTTCAAAAAAAATTAAAGGAACATTTTGAAAACACATCAGATCTCAATGGGAGAAAAATATCATGCTGGATATCTATACTAATGAGACGACGGATGGTGTCCTGGGGTATTTCCTTCCAGATCTGGACCAGGGCAAATAGGATATCCCAGAGGTGTAATTTTGGATTTAGGATTTGGATTTAGGTCAGGCGAGCATGGGGGCTATTCAATGGTATCAATTCATTCATCCTCCAGGAACTACCTGCATACTCTCGACACATGAGGCCGAGCATTGTCGTGCACCAGGAGGAACCTAGGACCCACTGCACCAGTGTAGGGTCTGACAATGGGTCCAAGGATTTCACCCCAATACCTAACGGCAGTCAGGGTGCCAATGTCTAGCCTGTAGAGGTCTGTACATCCCTCCATGGATATGCCTCCTCAGACCATCACTGACCCACCACCAAAACGGTCATTCTGAATGATGTTACAGGCAGCATAACTTTCTCCATGGCCTCTCCAGACCCTTTAATGTCTGTCACATGTGCTCAGGTTTAACCTGCTCTCATCTGTGAAAAGCACAGTGGCAGACCTGCCAATTCTGGTGTTCAATGGCAAATGCCAATCGATCTCTAAGGGAAATTAGCACAGGGCTCACTAGAGGACGTTGGGCCCTCAGGCCATCCTCATGAAATCTGTTTCTGATTGCTTGGTCAGAGACATTTAAAGCAGTTGTGTGCTGGAGGTCATTTTGTAGGGCTTTGGCTGTGCTCATCCTGTTCCTTCTTGCACAAAAGGAGCAGATACTGATCCTGCTGATTGGTTAAGGACCTTCTACGCCCCTATCAAGCTCTCCTACAGTGACTGCCTGTCACCTGGAATCTCCTCCATGCTCTTGAGACTGCGCTGGGTGACACAGCAAACCTTCTGGAAATGGCACGTATTGATGTGCCATCCTGGAGGAGTTGGACTGCCTGTGCAACCTCAGGTATCGCTTCTTGCTACCAGCAGTGACACTGACCCTAGCCAAATGCAAAACTACTGAAAACAGAAAAGATGAGTAGGGAAAAAATATCAGTGGCCTCATCCTGTAAAACCATTCCTGTTTTGGGGGTCTTTGCATTGTTGCCCATCTAGTACACCAGATGTTAATTTCATTAACACCATGCAGCTGAAACTGATTAGCAACCCCCTCTGCTACTTAACTAGCCAGATCAATATCCCAGGAGTTTATCTGACTTGATGCTATACTCTGAATAAAAAGTATTCCTTTAATTTGTTTGAGCAGTGTATATTGGGTACATTTTGGGAACTTCCTTATTGCACACTCAAGTCCTGGTAAAAAAAAAAAAGTTGTTCCTACAGAGAAATGAATATGGAAGAATAATTACATCTCTTCCCACAAATGGAGTTACCACTTTATGACCTCTAACTAATGCTGAAGAACATAAAACTCAAGATGACATATGGATAAAATGAAATAGGCATAATGCAAAATTAACAAAGATTTGCAAGTATGCATGTATGCACAATTATTAATGTGCAACTTTGAAGTTTTTGCATTAAAAAATATTTTAGTTACATTTTAATTTTGGTTAGGGAAAACTGAGATGTAAAAAAAAGTCATTTGTTTCTGAATAAGGGGAAGAATCAATGTTGATTTAGGAAACGTTTGTTAATTTCTAACCCTTAAAGTGATTTTAAGCTCTCATGCACACTTGACGTTTTTACAGCGGCTGTTTTTGGCTTTTGACATTTTTTCCTACAGCTAGTAAACCCTCCAGCATGTTATCCTATGTGTCCATGCACACATAGACTGTAATAAATGTTTTTTGGCTGGGATGTTTTCTGGCTGGAAAAAAAACACAGGACTAGTGGGCTTCTAGAGGAGTTTTTTAGCTGTAAAAATGCTCTAAGGCTGAAAAACACGGCAAAATGCGGTAAAATGCTGCAAACCATAATTTTTTAACTTTTTTTGACTCAAAAAATGTCAAAAAATGCAAACGTGGAAAAACACAGCTAAATGTGGTAAAATGCCACTAAACACTACTGCAAAAATGCAAAAAAAAGCTGAAAAGCTCACGTTTTTAAAGCGAGTTTACACAGCTAACGTTACTAGCGTTATCAAAACATCCAGTGTGCATGAGGACTAAAGGTTTATTTTGTTTTAAGAAAAAATAACAAACATATCTATACTTACCTGCTGAGTGCATTGGTTTTGCACAGAGCAGCCCAGATGCTCCTCTGCTCGGGTCCCCTGCAGGCTCTCCTGTCCCCGCCCTCCTGTCGGGTTCCCCCACAGAAAGCATCTTGCTATGGTGGCACCAGCTGCTCCATATGTCCATTCACACACGGTGGCATAACTAGGCCCGTCTCCTCTCTTTCTTCTCATTGGCTCACTGGCTGTGATTGACAGCAGTGGGAGCCAATGGTTCCTGCTTTTGTCTCAGCCAATGAGAAGAGGGAATCCCAGGATAGCTGAGACTCCAGTGCGCATTGCTCGATCGAGAGGGTTCTTATGTGAGTATTAGGGGGGCTAGGGGGGATGCTGCACACAGAAGGTTTTTTACCTTCATGCATAGAATGCATGAAGGTAAAAACACCTTGAACCTTTAGAGCCACTTTAAATTTATTGATAGATAAATAAGCCTAATTTAAGCAAATCAAAATCTGATTCAGATCATTCCAACTTACAAGGTCTAAAAATTTACACATTTGTCATATCTATAAAAAATCCAGCAATGTATTTATATTGTGATGAGGGAAGATAGCATCACCATCATGATATACTCCATCACCTGCTTCAAATACACTAGTTATATGCAAATCTGCCTGGATTCCAGCAGGAAGTTTGCAAACCCCAAACTTAATGCCAAACCACATCGAAGTTCATAGGAGGTGAGTCTTGATTATATATTCTGGCTAAGAAACCTGAGAAACTGGCCAGCAGCAGGATAGTTTTAATCAGGGAAAATAGCCCAACTGGTACTCACCTAACATTTAACTATGGAGATGGGGGGGGGGGGTGAGTGTTGAATATGAATGTTATATTGTGAGGTATTTTAAGTGCACACAGTTCAATCAACATAAAAAAATCAAGAAACACTCAAAAGACACGAAAGCCCCCAAATACCACCCCTGCAACAAAATACCTACCTGCTTTTATCTTAACAAATAAGCCTTACTGAAAGAAAAAAAAAAATATTTAAAGACCTAAGAACATCATAAAAACCAATGCTATATACCTGCAAAACAAATGAAAACCTTGCCCATGAAACTAAAATCCCCCGTCTGCTTTAGGTAACCACTTTAGGACCGCTGGCGGCTCCTGCAGGCACAGCAATATATCTGTACGTATGTGGACAGTGGTACAAATAGATTTTAAGTAAAAAGCAGCACATAATACACACATTATTACTTGTTAGGTACACACTTAACCCTTTGATTACCCTTTCCCAGCCAGCGTCATTAGTACAGTGAAAGAGTATAGTATTATTACTGATCACTGTATAAGTGTTACTGGTGATGTCAGTGTCAGTTAGTGTCAGATTGTCACCGCACGATCACAGACTTACTATAAGTTGCTTATTACCGCCAAAAAATATTTTCCAGTACATATATCATAGTTTGTAGACGATATAACTTTCACACCAACCAAACCAATATACTGGGATTTTTTTTTTACCAAAAACATGTTGCAGAATACATTTTGGACTAAATGTTTGAATACATTTGATCATTTTACATTTTATTGGATGTGTTTTATAGCAGAAAAAAGTTTTTTTTTTTTCAAAATGTTTCATCTTTTTTGAGGTTATATATATGAAAAAAAACAGTAGTGATCAAATACCAGCAAAAGAAAGCTCTATTTGTGTGAAAAAATTATATACATTTTGCTGGATACAGTGTTGTATGACTGCGCGATTACCAGTTAAAGTATCGCAGTGTTAAATTGCAAAAAAATGGCCTGGTCATGAAGGAGGTAAAACCTTATGGAGCTGAAGTAGTTAAGGGAAGCCTTGAGGTGAAAAAAAATCACTATGGATGGGAAAACATAATATTAAAAAATCAATTTCTCCTGCTGGAATTCTTGCTGCCAAGCCTATACATTGCATTGACAGGCTGTCGGTGGCTGGAACTACATAGATGCCTACCACTGTCATTCACAGTGTGGCAAAACACCTGTGCAAATGGTGCCTAATACTTTTCAAAACAATGTCTTAGAGTGTTACTAAACCCAGGACCCTGCATTCACTATATCATGTCTTCCACAGTACACACAAAATGGAAATGCAATTATTTTAGTAAATATAAACTGCTAAATACCTTTTCTCAACAGCAGTTAGAGCAGTATTGTAACTTCAGCAGAACACTGGTAAAGCTTGTAGGAGGAGTTTTCTTTCGGCTCTATGAGGATGTAAAAGTCCTGACCTCTGTCTGGACAGTGTTGATTATCCCTGTGCTGATCACATGCACTCTCCCAAAAAAAAAAAAGAAAACCCTCTCTAGCAATACACACTAAACTGAGCATGTGCATGTGACTACGGATTCAGTCTGTATCAGGTGGTCATTTCAACAAGAGGAGGGGCAGAGAAGAAAGGATCAAACAGCCTTTTTACACAATGCAGAGGACAGGGGTGGAGTGACCATTTGGAAACTCGGGCACTGCCCGAGGGCCCGGGGTCAGTAGGGGGCCCCATGAGATGCCCCTGCTACCTTTTTAATAGGCTTTTTTGAGTTTGGGCAAGGAAACAGGGGCTCCATGATCCTCTATTGCCTGGGGGCCCCATGAGTTGTCAGTCTGTCCCTGGCAGAGGATTAACCCCTTATGTTCCACACAGTGAGTATAACAAGCATGCTTTACTGCATATACAGACTGATTTTACTGTTGTGGGTTTAGTAATACTTTAATTTTTAAAAGTATTTGACATTACATGTGGTGAAACTGGCATTTTTGAAAACTGAAACTACATGTAGCGCAAACAAATCCCACAAGCTTTGCTGGTTAGAAGAAAGGAGGTTTAACCATAGGTCTTAGATTGTGGAAAGGGTTCTTTACTGTTAGAGTAG